GACTCATAACCTTTAGCTGCTGGATTAAATCACACTCAATGACACAGACCATTTGCTCCGGCGGTCCGAGAAAGACAATATTTAATTTGTCCCTCTTTCTCTCTCTCTGCTTATCCTTGAAGAACATAATTGATATTGTAAATAGAAAGTTGGAAGGTCGCTGGAGTTTCGGCATGCACTGTTTACATAATGTACAATTATGTTTTGCCTGCCATTTCCTGGATGTTAGACAGAGGCCTGAAACAGGCGTGTGGGGGCGAATGACCTTGTGACACACACAACAACACGCTTAACACACAACACACACACAACACGCTTAACACACACAAACACTGAACTCACTGTTACATCCGCAGTACATGCGCTCAGACACGGAGGAAAAACACGCTTGAATCTGCAGCAGATGGAGTCTCAAAAAACTGTATAAATGGTTCTGTTAAAAAATATTACATTTCAGATGTCTAATTGCTTTCACACATCACAACAGCTTTCACACGCTATACAAAAATTATATTTTGACAAGGCATCTTCTGGAAATTATTAGTGCAAGTCGTGACATTCTTGCCACATTACCTAATTTTTCTAGACTAATTTCAGTGCTTCAGGAAGTGTTTTAATTAGTAATATGTTAATTCATTAATTAACCAATAGGGCAGTATGTGCATGCATTTCAAATCAGTAGCCAATTAAAATAGCATAAAAAAATTAATCAAATATTTAAAAATATTATATAACAATTAATAATATTAATTATTCAAATTTTATTAGGTAGTGAAATATGCTACCATTGATTTACCAATAGGTTGTGCATACTGAAGCCAATTAAAATTACGGTAAATAAAAATAATTAATTAATAGATAATTAATTAATTAAAAAGCTAAATAAATAAATAAATATTATATATTATATAACAAAAAATATTAATTACATATACCTCACTTAACTCAGCTTATTTTTATTAATTAATTAATTAATTTATGTTTGTTTGTTTGTCTTACTTTATGATTTTTGTTTTAACCTAATAACCCTGATGTGATTATTCCTAAAAGAAATAGTTCCCAGCACCTGTATAACCTGTGTCCATCTGTATTGCTGAGGGTTGTCTCTCATTTTTATTTATAGGCCTAATTATTTTGTAAGCGTGTTGTCTTCATCATTGGCGTGTCCTGAAGGCCGTGTGCGTCTGAAACTGTCTGATCAGTGGTTTGAATGCATGCGTGACGGAGGTGATGTGTGCTGCATTACTGCATGAACTCCATTCACATTCACACATGACCTTCATTATGTGTGTGTGTGTGTCTGTTAGTGTGTGTGTGTGTGTGTGTGCGCGTTTTTGTGACAAATGAGGACAGACATCTGAGTGAAAATGTGTGTGTGTGTGTGAGTGTGAATGTGTGTGAGTGTGAGTGTGTGTGTGTGTGAGTGAAAATGTATGTGTGTGTGAGTGAGTGTGAGTGTGAGTGTGAGTGTGTGTGTGTTTGTGTGTGTGTGTGTGTGAGTGTGTGTGTGTGTGTTTTTTTTATTAATTATTTCAGTTTTAGTTATTTTAGTACAAATTAAACTAAACAAAAATTTGAAATGTTGCCTTGGCAGCAAGCTAAAATACGTTTTTTTTTAAAATATTTTAATTTATTTTATTTCAGTTAACATTTTTTATTTCAAGTAATGCAGTTTTTAATGTTTTTAGTTTTAGTTAACTATAATAACACCGGAATTAACCAATGTTTATATGTAAATAAAAGGCTAAAATAAATATTTCTGAACATTCATCTTTTGTCGAACTATACACAACAAATATTGTCGCTATACATTGATATATATATAAAAATCAAAGTAAATGTGTATTTCTGTAGAGTAGTAGAGCGTGACACTGACAATAGCAAGGTCATAGGTCATTGTTAGGCAATGCATGAATTAATTAAATGTCCACCTTAATATAATGTTAGGTATGCTTTGAAAAAAAAAAGTCTGCAAATGCATAAATGTAAATATAATGCCTTAATAACCCTTCAGCAAGTTAATTTCCAGAGCAAGTGTTGCTGGGGAAGTTTTGTTTTCTCCATTCTGACCACAAACACGCTGACGATATGAAGCAGACGGGAGATTTAGAGTCGTATAAATCTGCTGCTGGCTGTAAAGATGACGGTTTGTGTGTAAATCCTCCTGCTCTGTATTTATGGTTTGTGTTGTTGTGTCTCCTCAGGATCCTGAGCAACAATAAGATCTCGGCGCTGAAGAATAACTCTTTCCTCGGCCTGCGAGCTCTGGAGAGACTGTGAGTGCAATCGCCTTTTCCATCTGGTTATATATTGTGTAGAGATGATAATACGGGGGAGAATTGGCTCTTAGTCATGTAGAAACCATATATACACGTATATATCAATAAGTACATGAAATGAGGCCCATCCATCAGCAGAAATATGTTTTTCCAGATCTGCTCCTGGTTCCAGGTGATTATCAGGTGTAAAGTCTGTGTTTCTGCACACATACATCCAGATATCCTGAGCAGAAGCCTGAAGCGTGTTTAAAGAGCCGCTTTTATTTGGACCGGTTTTATTTTAGGGTGCACTGTTCCTTTAAATCATTAAAATTACGTATGCGCATCATGAGCAGATGTATGAGATTGAGATATATACTGTATTATGTATATATAACAGTTTTGTGGTGAAATGAGTATATTTAATATATTAATATGGTTATATAAGTTATATTAATATATTCTGTTTCAATTAATATAGTAATATATTAATACTATATAGAGACTTTAAGACCTGAAGTGGGTCTGAAAAGGTAAAGAGAGATGCGTTTCAGATCCGTGTCACGTTCAGCAGCGGCAGCTCTTAAAGTAATAGCAGCCTAAAAACCTAATAACCAGCAGCTATTAATCAAAGAAATCAATAACTTTTGTAGCTTTAAGGATTCATCTGTATTTAATTTAGAATTTAGTGTTTGATAACTTTATTCAATTTCTGTATATTTTCTACTTGCTGAAGGGCACAGGTAACTAAATATGATATTTATTATAATGGGTTTATGTGAAGATTGTTTTAAGTTCACTTAAATTAGAAGTTATTTTAAGTGGTCTAATAAATGTTAAAATTGATAGCTCTTGTAATGTTGGATGGCTAAAGTCAATGGTTAAATATTATGGGAAAAAATAATTTCCCAGAGACATCAGTTGTATTGGTATCAGTGATACTGTCCTTCAGTCATAAAAAAAGATGCCATTATACAAATATTAAAAATATACTGTCTTTATGTTGTTTCTACATTAAAGATCGAATGTGAAATTATTGCAATGCAAAAGTATTTTTAAAAACTTTAATGTTAAGTGGGATTAATCGTGATTAATAAAAAACAAAGTGTGATTAATTAGTAAATTTTTTTGATTGACAGCACTCATTTTAATATTACTAATACATGGTAATATAGTAATATTAATAATATATAATAGCAACAGTTTTCAATGAAATGAGTATGCTTAATATATTAAAGTTATATCAATATAATTTGTATTATTAATATGGGAATATTGATTGGGGGTATATTAAATATATATTACAATAATAATAATATTTTAATATTAATAATGTAATAGCAACAGTTTTCTGGTTGGATAAATTCATTAATACAATTAATTTAATAATATATTAATGTTAATATGTAATAGCAGCGATTTTTCTGGTGGGATAAGTATGTAATATATTAAAGTAATTAATTATTAATATTAGTAATAATTAGTAATTCATATATTAATAATATATAGTAGCAACAGTTTTCAATGAAATGAGTATGCTTAATATATTAAAGTTATATGAATATAATTTGTATTATTAATATGGTAATATTGATTGGGGGTATATTAAATATATATTACAATAATAATAATATTTTAATATTAATAATTTAATAGCAACAGTTTTCTGGTTGGATAAATGTATTTTAATATGCTTTATATATTACAATTAATTTAATAATATATTAATGTTCATATGTAATAGCAGCGATTCTTCTGGTGGGAAGAATATGTAATATATTAAAGTAATGTTAATATATTAATAATATATAGTAGCAACAGTTTTCTGGTGAAATGAGTATTTTTAATTATAATTATATGAATGTAATATATTGTAATTTATGCAATGATGCGATCAGTGAATGATGGCAGAATGTGAAGTGTTGTGTTTGAGCACTGTCTGTGAGGAGGTGAAGAAGTCTTTCCTTTGACCCTGACTGAGTTCAGCGATTGATTCGTCCTTTAATCGAGCTCTTATCGTCGGTCCAGACGCGCTGCATCGAGCTGCTGATGCTCTGCCTTCAGTCAGAGTCAAACCAGACTCAGATCATCAGATCAGCTCATGCAAAGGGCAGCACGGTTATTTTGTGTCAGACACGTTCATGCATGTGGCTGTGTGTGATTCCAGCATTTATATGCATTTACAGCATTTGTCAAAGTAGCTGCTGGAAACCATTGCAACAATTTTTCACTGGGATAAGTATATTTCATATACTAAGTAAATAACAAAATTAATATAATAATATATTAATATTAACAATGTATAATAGCAACAATTTTTCACTGGGATAAGTATATTTCATATACTAAGTAAATAACAAAATTAATATAATAATATATTAATATTAACAATGTATAATAGCAACAATTTTTCACTGGGATAAGTATATTTCATATACTAAGTAAATAACAAAATTAATATAATAATATATTAATATTAACAATGTATAATAGCAACAATTTTTCACTGGGATAAGTATATTTAGTATATTAAATGAATATTCATATATTAACATAATAAACATTAATAATATATATAATAGCATCCGTTTTCTGGTGGCATGAGTGCATTTAAAATATTAAAGTTAGATTAATTTAAAACATTATCATTTATTTATTTATTTAGTCATTTAGCAGACGCTTTTATGTAATAATGCATTCATATTAATAATATATAATAGCAACAGTTTTTCAGAGGAATTAGTATATTAAAGTATTATTAATATCAGTATAATAGCAGCGGTTGGATGAGTATCATGGAACTTAAATATTAATTTATTCATGTGCATATTCACGCGCTATAATGAAGGGGAGCACGGGGCACAACACTCAGTTTGTGTAAATCCACAGGGGGTTCAGAGTATATATATTTTTTATCCACAGTAGTTTCACTTCTTGTCTAATACAAATATATCGCTTTGTTTCATAATTACAATGTATACGTTTTTCTTTATTTACCCTCAAACAATGGAAGAGAGATGTGACAACATTCCCCGTAGGTGGGGTACATTGTAACATTTGAGGGGCACATTGTAACATGACCACATGACAGCTTAAAATGTTATCTGATGCAAGACAAACTAAAATATCTTGTCAATAAATCTGTATGTGGGTGTGTGTGAAAATATTCAGATGTAACCCTCTTTGTAATCGTTAACCTTTTCATTAGTAACTGTAATTTAATTACACATGTGTTCTCAGTAACTGTAACAGATTATAGTTACATTTATTTTGGGTTATGCTTTATTTTAAGGTGTCCTTGTTACAGTGTAATTATACATTTAAAGGTCCCCTGAAATGCTTAGAAACACGCAGCGTTACTCTGTGTTGACGTCATTTTAACTGAAACAGGAAGACAGGGCGGGACAGATCAAGCAGCCCCGCGCCTTTTTAAAATAGCCAATAGCGTTCGTTTATATCACAGTTTGGGCTAGAGCCGTTCAGAGCCGTTGAGCTCCGTAAAGCCACATTTGACAGGGTATGCCAGCCACAATCTCATCCATATTGCTATAAAATATAGCATTCTGTGTAGAATTCAAATAGCTCCGATACATTTTGTGGTCTGCAGCGACTCGCGCATGTGATCCGCTCCGTGCTATCGAGTCTCTGGACCGGAGCAGAGTGTGTGTGCGGTGGTTAGCGTGACACAGCGCCAAACCAGACTTCTTTTTTTCCTCAATGGAAAGCATATTTACACTGTTTGAATCGTTCCCTGTCCCCTATATAGTGCACTACGTGCCATTCACTGTACAGAAAATACTAATTCTGTGGACAAGTGACCGATTTCAGCCGCGGCTTCAGCGTCTATTTTATAGTGTAGGGGGCGGGCGCTTCGGATTCTAGAGAGCATTTGATTGGACAGAAAGTTTGATGAGAAGCTGAAGTACGATGTGACGTCAAAAAAATCGTTGAGCCGTTTTGGCGGAAGTGACGAACTGCAAGCTTTGAATGCTTATATCTTCTAAATGCGAATTTTGTCACTGTTTTGGAGCACACTGCCTTATAGATAACCTTAAGACTAACATATTGATACTAACACCCAAAAAACTTTAATTTTGATTTCATGGGGACTTTAAGGACTGAATTAACTACATGTACTTACTATATGGTTAGGGTTAGGATGAGGGTTTGGTTTAGGGTTACTTGCATGTAATTATGCATCATTTATTGTTGTTATAATAGTAAGTACATGTAACATGTGTAACAAGGACACCTTAAAATAAAGTATTACCTTATTTTGTAATTAAATGACGTCACAGTCTTGTGAAAAGGGTCCATTGTGTGTTTTTTAGGGCAGTTTTCTCGGCAGTGTGAGATTTAAGGACACTGCATTTGTGCATTGAACGTTTTGTGAACCTGAGAAAACACACAGGATTTCTCCAACAAAAATAGTGTACCGAATATTTTCGTCTCTTCATGAACTGAAATTTCTGTTTGGAAGTGTATTTGATTTATTGCAGGCTTTTAAGGCTAGTCAGCACTTTATTAATGCAGTGATTTAGATATGATCGCATTAGCTTATGCCTTACTCGCGCTGATTTAATCTAGTAGCACAAAAGTGACTCAAATGATCTCATTGTTACAGAAACACAAAGTGGTTTTCATGGTTGTTTTTGTAAACTTTGTTTTAATTATATTTCAAATACCATTTGATAAGTGCTTTGGTGGGTTTTATCTTGATGCTTTCTTTGAGAGCAGCTGCTGGTTTAACGCTTCGCAAATTGAGGAAATGATGGATGGATTCACTGAGTGGAAACATGTGCCTTTATTTATTACCATTTAAATCACTTAATTGGGTCACTGGCAAATTGTTAATTATACTGAAAAGCACCTGGTTTAGTTTTTAAAGGTCAGTTTAAACATAGCAGAGCCGCCAAATATGAATTTATGATACAATCTCTTAAGTGAAAGCAGATTTTATGCTTTAACTGCCCAAATTTCATTTTGTTATATGACTAATTTCAATTGATATTAACATT